ATAAACGTCATTTTTTGTGGAAAAGTCTCTTTTTTATGATTGGTCGATTGAAGGTTACTCGTGTGTTCTCATCCCTTGAGATGCTACTGTTAAACTTTGCCCATTTTACTATGTAAGTTTACTATCATTATTCGCATCATTCTTATTCTCTTAACACTCTTTTATTGTTTATGAATAACATGACAAACTAAATTAAAATAATGAGATAATATTTACGGTTACTTGGTATCACCTGAAGACATAACTGTTTTTGCTTTGATGTGAAAGCCAAAGGAGGTAGTGCATACGGAGCATAAGACTGACAAAAATTCAGCTTCTGCAGTTCAATACAGGTTGCTACCTCAACTTCCTAGGTCTAATCACAATGTGAGAGTAGTTATCTTTCCCTCTACTCCTAATAGTATACACATTCTACCTATCCACTCACCACTGCCTAGATTGTATAAACACTTGAATGAATTTATCCCTGTTAGTATTATTATTATTATTATGACCACTTCGATTGTTTCCATTAATTCAAATCCATAAACTCTAATCCTATATTTTATTAACCATATTCATTGAAATGCCTATGACTAATATATGAAATAGACTGTTTGTTTAGTCAAGCTATTCATCACGTAAGTGTTTCCAGAGAAAAGGAAAATCTTTCCCTGCATTAAATTATATTTCTCCTTACCACTAATAATTACCGTCCTTATGTTAGACCAAGAGGTTACTGTCAGTGTGAATGTGCTATCAAACAGTTTAACAACATGTGACAATTTTTCATTGAAATAAGAGTGGAAGCAATTATGAAAACGGTTGGCGTAAAAAGCAATCAAACCTAAGAATATATCTCACTGGTTTTGGAATTTGAACTAGGCAGTTATGTTACATAATTCTTTGCAATGCTAGACGTTATTTGATATTTGACAGTTCAGCTTACTAATGTCCTTAAAATGTAGCTTTTTGGGAGCTCAGTAAATCCTACATTTCGTCTTCAGTAACGTTCATTTACACAGATTATCACCGAGGAAAATAAAATTGATATAAGGATATAACTTAAGCACTCTGATAGAGTAAAACTCCATTATGGATAAATTTTTATTTTGATAAAATCACACAATGCTGTACAGTAATATTTACTGATGACCACAAATTATTGCTCATAATCATATCAAGGCATTACTCACATAACTTCCTTGCTTCATTTATATACATGAGTAAGAAGTGAATGGACATTTGAATAAAACTGATAGAATTAGTAAGTGTAAGGGAATTCAACAAGATTCTTACAGGAGTTAGTGTTCAGGGATTTGATTTGTCTCAGTTGTGATCAGGAGCTTACATCAGTTACAGAACCAGTGGAAAACCAGGGAGTACTAGACAGCTGTTTAGTCCTAGTCAGGAACTCTTTGGCAGTACGCACCTTCCAGGGGTAGAATCCAGGATATCTCGATTACAAGGAAAGCTCGTAGACAACTTAGCTACTGTTACCCGATCTAATGGTCAATGAATTCCAACTTCAACAGATTCCTGATTTTATCACGACTACCAGTTAAAGTTATTGGCTAATATTTGTAAACAGGACTGGTCAAGACTTCTCACTAGAACTCCAGGCAGCTTCGTCCATGGAGCTTCCAGCAACGAGGCATGGTTCGAATCCTGATGGCTGCGTACTGCTGAAAAAACCCAAATGGCTGTCAAATACTTCTTGGTGTTTTGAGGGTTCTTTAACTGAAGGCAGTTACTGATAGAGAAAGAATTTTTTACAGTTCCAGACGGAAGTTAATCCACAATAATATGCATTACTAACTACATAGACCTAAGCTAGACAGAAATTAGTGGTCTTTGTTTATTCAAAAGCCAATTCAGGAGAACGTACTCTATAAGTGAAGCTGCATAGCCTTGCTGAAACACAGTCATCTACTGGCTTTGTTTACTTAGTAAGTATCAGTTAAGCTGAGGATCTCCAAGTATATTGACGAGATTTATTAGACAAATTTCAATGCGTATCCACTAATCAATTAATTATTTAATATTGCCTATCAGTTTTCAATATGGCAGACTCTAGAAGATATAGATTACCTGGGCCAATGATTTATGCTGAGTGTTACACAAACTCAAAGACTTGAAGCCAGGCAAAAACCAACAAACTGGCAGCAGACGCGAGCATTCGGCCAAGGCAGGACTCCAGGTGAACATTGACAGGACAAAGGTGGTGTAGTTAACCAACCAATCAAAAGCAACAGCAACAACCAGCACCAACCACTATTAACGGGAGAGATTTGACAGAAGTCACCTTCTGCCGTCACTTATCTGGCTAGGAAGCATAGCTTCAGCCACAGGTAAATGGACAGCACGGATGAAGATATCAAAGGAAGCCAGCCAGCCAGAGTTGAAAAGGCAAGAGACGCCTTCATCAACCTGAAACCAGTTTGGAAATCTTCTGCTTCACTAAGCCAGCATAAACAACAAGATTCGGATTATGATCAACACAAATGTGAATTCAGTCAGTCGCTTCTTCTTTATGGGTGAGAAACGTGCACTGCGTGTCACGAAAATCATTTTCAATAAGCCACTGCGGACTTTTATCAAGAGCTGCCCAGTTTGCTGGCTGGTTCCATCCTGAAGATTAAATCGTCGGCCGGTTGGCTAGAAACAATTAGTACCAAGAAACTCTGGCTAGCGACAAATCTACAGGCGAAAATCGATTCGTCGACAAATAAGTAGAAGAAAATGGAGATATAACGGGCATGCATTGACGAGAACGTCGAATGACATCACGTACAATACAGGCCATTGCTCGAGTGGAGTCCCAATAGAATGAGAAGCTATGAATTGGTCGTCGGTGCGAGAGTGACATGAAGGAGATCGTGTGGCGAGGAGGAGGAGGAGATGAGAGATTATGGGCTATCTTGGAGAGGATGAGGATAGCAGAGAACAGATGGAGGTGGAGATGCGTTGTTGAAGCCCTATGTTCCACTTGGAACGCAAAGGAATAATAACAAAAACAAAAGTTCTTTGTATGAACATGGAAGTGTGAGATTATGAGTATTATTTCCTTATAACACCACTGATCTAAATTGTAAAATAAACAGCTAGTTGTTATTACAACTGCACCTATTGTGACTAATTATTCTATTAACCTTACATCAATAACTGTCCACATTGCACACTTTATCGACATATATGTGGTTTGGTCAGCATACTTGGAAAGAGTCAATAACACTGAATTGAACAACTGAATCATCTTTTGATAGCTACTAGTTACAAAACCCAGTATTCATAGTAGACACTCAACAATATGATGTCTTTCGTAATATAATACAAATAATATGAGTGCACGGGTGAATAACTGATGGATTTACAAGTAATATAAAATACTAGTTTCACAAACTGTGCATCCTAACAACTGTTCAGTCACCTTCTAAGGAAATCGCTTTCCAACGAAGAGAAAGCCTCGATGTGATTGTATGCAATAAAAAGTGTCCAGGGAATCTCATCCAACTGGTAATACTGCATTACTAAGTGTTATGTAGAATGAATATGTGCAATACATTCAGAAACACTCTGGTACATGACATTTTACTTTTATGGAATACGACTTGAGCAAATACGTATTTTCGGTAAATTCTCATCTGGCTACAAATTTACATAATGAAATGTTAGTCATAGGCATTTGAATTAATGTGGTTAACAGAATATCAAGGATCAGAGTCCAGGGATTTGAATTAATGGACAGCGATCGAGGTGATCATCGTAATAATAATAATAACAAGGATAAACTGATTCAAGTGTTTGTATAATCTTGGCAGTGGTGAGTGGATAGGTAGAATGTGTATACGATTAGGGGTAGAGGTGAAAATAACAACTGTCATACAGCGATTAGATGATATAATAATAATGATGATCATTTTTTAAAACCGAGGATAAAATGTACAACTACAGCACAGCAGGATTCTGATAATTCAGTTAGCATTACAAATGAAATGAAATATAGTGAGATAATATATACAGTTATCCGGTGTCACCGGGAGAGATAACTATTTAAGGTTTGAGATGAAGGCCAAGGGGGGGGAGACAGATTGAACAAACTTTTTCTGAATACAGAGATTAGGTTAAAAAATCTTGATGGCAACTGCCTCAACTAGCAATCAAAGACTTGCCGACCTAGGGAGTTGAGGTGTGGCACTCTGTATTGAATTGTAAAAGCTGAATTTTTGTCAGTCGTATGCTCTGTTTCTACTAGGTGTGCCAGTATGGAACTTCTGATCGGCTCTATGACCCCTATACCTAACTAACCTTGTTGGACAATGCTGCAGAAGTCAACATTGAGTTTGTCGATTCTTTTTGTCTCCTCATGAAATGTTAAATTTATAAATGCACATCGAAGTAACCAGACTCAGTAGGTTATCCTTCATCTGAGTTAGAATTATACAAAGAGTGGCGAATTTTAAACACAAAGTTGTGGTGCTAGCAATTCATTTTTTCCGTTTTATTTAAACGGTAAACTCATGTAGAAGCGTTTCTTCTGAACGGTTGGCAGGCATTTCTCTCTGTCTGTTCTCCTCATCATGTTCTATAATTATCATTATGGGAATTTTTATATTATTTTACTTATAGTCACATTTTGTGCGTCGGTAGCACAGCGGTTAGGACTCTCGGCGACCATGCACATGGTCCGGGGTTCGATCCCCGGCCACCGACGCACTCCTTTACGTTGCTAGCCAGTAGTAAGACTGTTAAAAAGGGAAGGTTGGACGTGAGGCCTGTAGCTTGAAGCCCTATTTTCCACTGGGAACATAAAGGAATAAAAAGAATGTAAGAATTATCGTTATTGCCTATTAATAATGCCACAGTTATATAATATTCACCTTTATATTGTGAAAAAAACTCGTCATAGAAATCATGTCGTAAATGTTCTTTACTTTTAAAGATACATAAAAGTAAGTCAATAGATAGTAGTTGAACAAGAACGAACTATTGCCATTATTATTATTATCATTAAAACTTACATAGAACACCGACAACGAAAAATCCTGATAAGAATAGTGTTGCAGCTTGACGGCATGTGGGTGATACTCCTTGTAAGATTTCATGTAATCCATAGATTAATTCATCTATTGAAGCAGATGCAGGCTCAGTATAAACTGAGTTAATCTCGTCTGGAACAATACTACTAGTAGTACTAATATTATTGATTATACTATCAATAGTGATATTCGTTGTATTATACATTGTTGAAGTGAAATGTGTAAAACTTGAAGATTTTTTTACGAATATTGTTTAATAAAAGCTTATAAATGATGCAAATAGATGTTTTGAGATGCTTTTTTTTACTGATAGCATAAGTAGCTAAATGATTATTAAAAGATTTTTACAAAAGTTGACTTTTAGGCGTTTTTTATAGTCTTCAACATCAGCGATTCTGTAGAGAACTAGTAACATCAAATGCACTAATAGTAATAATGATAATAATGATAGAAATTTCTTTTAAATAGTTTCTCTTTTGTAACTATGTTGTGATTTCTACTGTTTAATCTTCAAGGTGTGTGTGTTTGTGTGTGTGTGTGTGGGTGGGTGAGTGTATGTGTATGTATATCCGTCTATCACAGTGGTAAGTGAACCGTCTTTCACAAGCTTGAATAGAGATTGTTTTTATTCGTGATTTTGTATCTACAGTTATTGTGGAAATGTTCACTTCCTATTGGCCAGTTTGTCAGTTTTGATGTATCTACAAATTAGGTCATATTATTATTTAACAGCAATATGGTTTAATATTTATTACATGCCTGTGTGTGGATAAGTGTGTTTAACTGTTGCAGCTATGAAACTTTCCTATGGAAGGAAAATAATGTTAACATTAGGCAACTTAATTTGATCCTGAAAATTATCCAATTCGTTATTTTATACATTCTTAGTTAATCTATAGAAGTGTTGAATACTGTTTTTGTAAAAAACACCTACCTAATGGTAGCTATTCAGCTAACATTAACAAAGGGTATTTTACAAGGGACGAAATATTTCTGCGTAGTACTGAAGCATTGTGACTTTATCTGTCTGACGGAGGAGACTTTTGATGAAGTTGTGTTCTTTGACCTAGCTGGTTGGTTTATTTGCGAAGCTTTCATCGCCCTACTAGGCAACATCTTCAGCACATACTTCCATTTGAAGTGAGCTTTTAGATATCCCCACAAGTTTATTAGTCATCTCTCCTGATGACCAACTAGAAAGTGATCTGTGTTTTCACACCCTCTAGGCTACTTGTATTGGTATTGATTGTTTCCTTGACTTGAATTTTAACCCTTTGTGTGTAAGATTTCCTTCTTATCAAGTGGCAAATTTCATCTATCTCGATGTGTCTATTGAATGATGATTCACTGGAATACCAGGCTTCTAAAAATTCTCTAGCATTCTTGGTGTTTCCTCTCTCCAATATTCGAACATTTTCCTAGTCGAATTGATGCCCGTCGTTGTCTGTATGAAGTTATATGAGGGAGTGGATGTCATGTCTTTTGACGGCTAGCTTATGATCGTGGATACGAAGACGAAGCGGAAGTCCACTTTGGTCAATGTGGTGTTTTTCTCAGTTGTTACAATTTATTTGGAGATGATGTTGGTTTTATCTTCTTTCGTTGTTGAGTCTTTTGGTTGACATAGAACTGAGTGAAGTGATTTTGTTGGTTTGTGTGCGACGTCAATTCCTAAAGGTTTGAAGAGTCTTGCAGTGATTTCTGAGATGTCCTTTATATGTGGTAGGGCGATTTTCTTTATGCTTTCCTCGGGGCCTTTGATTTGATAGTTTGGCTTGGGGTTATAAGTCTTTTGATAAAATTCCGTTGATATCCATTCTTTTGAGAGACGTCAATGAGATATCTTTCTTCAATTTTCCTTGAGGTGGGAGTGTTGCAATGAGTCCTGGCCCTCTTGAATAGTGCTTGTATGCAATTCCTCTTGTGTGCTATTGGATTGTTGCTGTTGTAATTCAGGATTTGGTCTGTGTGAGTTGATTTTCTATTGACATGAGTTTCTAGTTCCCTGTGGTTGTTCGCTTGACTAAGACGTCCAAAAATAGGATTTGGTTCTCTGATTCCTCTTCTTTTGTGAATTTGATGTCGCTGAAGACGTTGTTTATCAGGTTGTGAGCTTCATCTAATTCGTTTCTTTTGATAATTACAAATGTGTCGTCTACGTAACGTACCCAAATCTTGGGTTTGATCTATGGTAGGATTATGTTTTCGAGTCTTTGCATCACTGTTTCTACCATGGGTGATCCCATGGGAGTTCCTTTAACTCTTCCATATATCTGGCCGTTGAATTAGAAGTATTTTGTTAGGCATAGGTTTATGCATTCCATCCAACTTGTGTGTTGCATTTTCCATTGTTGTGGGAGGTGTTCATCGTTACTGAGTAATTGCTCCATGGTCTCTTTTGCTAGTTTCTGTCCATTTGAGGTATATAATCATATGACGACGAAGGATACTATTATTTCTTGGTCATCCATTTGAATGCCTTTGAATGCCTTTCCGAGTTATGTAACATTATTCTGTCTTAGGAAGTTTATTTTCCCATATAGAAAAATTATTTCCCAGCTTATTAGAAGATGATTTACTAGCAGAACGACAAAAACAACTGATAAAACGTCAGTTATCAAATGAGCTGAAGGTCTATTGGTAACAAAAGAGTCTAAGCAACCTAAACTAGATCACCAAACTAAGCGTAATATTCAATACACCTTCAAAAGGATATCTTTCTTGTTACAGTACAATTTCATACAAGTGATTATCAATAGTCTGTATTATAATCGCTTTCAATCTGACTCAGATGAGTATATAAGCCATACGCTGCGTTTGCTAACCATGAACTTCCTCCACAGTTTGATTCTCAGTTGACTTACGGCCTAACTTTGCTCAGTAGGTAGTAAGATTGGCAAGGAGAGGAGATTGGGTATGAAACTAGCACTTTAGAGATCTAGTTTGAAGCACAATATTCTATTCAGAGCATGAAAAAATGAAATAATAAAATAAATACTAATGTTGTCTAGTGATTTAGCAACAGAATGATGATACAGCATGTCTTTATTTTGATGACATAACACCTTGTGAACACAATGCACTCAGTTGCGTTAATTCGATACATCCCTCAAAATTCTATACAGGATTTTATCAAGCTTCTAAAAAGGGACCCAGATGAAGACTGAAGCTGATGCTATGTATCGGAAAAGTGTATGTTTAACCTTTGTCTTTATAATGGCCATGTCAGCCAACTCACATTCCCAAATAAAATTATTATTATTACTTGGTAGCGTTTATTAACTGAACTTCTCGTTTATTATTTTTCATCATCTTAGTCCCTATTTGTGGTGTGCAACTCCGTTTTGCCAGTCAAGGTATTTTTACTCTTGAACGGAAATAATTCTGGAGTTTTTCACTCCTTTGTGATATTTCATACATTTGCTTTCCTTGATAAGTTTCCAATGAGAAAGAAAGACCAGATTTGTAGTATTAAATGATATCATTCTATTTCACAGGTTCTCGTCAGCTGGAGACTGCCTGAAATTACAATGGTTACATAGATGATAATAACATACTTTAATGTTTAAGTGGTAGTAGAGAAGAAATACTATAAAACTGACGCATCTAAAATGCAAGCATTACAATTTTTAGTTTAAGTTTTCATCATCAATTTATACGCTTTCAAAGTAGAAAAGAGGGGGGACGGGTAAGATGGAAAACAGAAGAAATTAACAAACAGTGTTAGCTTGTAGGTACACATGGCGACTCAAAAAAACCGGTTACAGTTTATAAGATTAAGATTTGCTCAGTGAGTTGAGATCACTGAATTAGATGACTAATTAATGTAATCAAAATCAAAATTCAGTTACCAAGGGAGTGAGAGATTATTCACACTCTCTTTCTGTGTGAACATGGCAACTCAAGAAGGTTAAAGTTCATCGAATTGAAAACTTGCTTAGTGAGCTGAGCTCACTAGTGTGTATGACTAATCAGTGTAATGAAAGTAATACGGTTGCCAAGTGAGTGAGAGATTGACTACACACTCTCTCTTTCTGTGTGAATAAGTTTGGTTTGAGACGTTTGATTGCAATTGCTTCAGCAGTAAATCGTAGTAGATTCGCTGTCCTTTGTATGTTTAATATTTTCAAGGATTTAGAAATGTCGACGAAATGACCAGTTTCCACAAGATGTCTGGTAATTTCACTTTGTAAATATCTGCTTCCTTTTAAGTATAGGTTTCTCGGAATATGCTCTGAAAACCGGATAGAAGCCCTGCTTTCTGTCGTTCCAATGCATTGCTGCCGCAGGTGCACACAAATTTAGAAATGCAGTTGGAGGTAACATCAGCAGGTTACTTATCCATTTTTGATCGGCTTATAGAGCATGTAGTGCTGTATAGTGTCACCAGCTTGGCTGCAGGGGAGCATCTCTTTATTAATCCTTTCATCCTCTTTTCAATCTTTTGTGCTACTGCTTCTCCTCTGAATGGGAGACAAATAAACACTTTCTTCTTTTCTACAGTTGGATGTTTTTCTTTCTTATCTTTTTCTCTGCTATGCTTTTGTATAAATCCCTTTGAGTATCCATTTTCTCTTAGATATTTCTCAACGAAACCTAATTCTTCTTACACCTTGTTGGGTGAACATAGCTTCTTGGCTCTGTCATACAGTGTCCTTACTAATCCTTGCTTATAGCTTGTAGGGCAGAAGCTGTTGTAGTGAAGACATTGTCCAGTCCAGGTTTCTTTTCTGTAGATGTACTTTTCAGCCATTTCATCGTTTCTTCTTTTTATATTTAGGTCCAGGAAACTGAACTCGTCGTTGTGTTCATATTCATATTTGTGATATGTTCACTAATGTATACTTAGTCGATGACTCCAACGACTGTAAACAGCATTTTATTTTCATACGTTCTAGTGGCTGAATTCCTCTTATCGAAGTTATCCGTATCCAGAAATGTTGTAATTTAAAAAAAAGACAAGTGTTTCCCAAGAATGTGCTATATCAGATAAAATCATAAGTAAGTATACTCATGAACCAGCAGTAAAAAAATGTTTACAGATTCTTTCAGAAGTGGTAATCCCTTTAGCTAGTTATATTAAAGGAAAATTTATAAGTAGGCGAAGTATGAGATTTCATCCTTTGGCCTGTAGAAAGTATCCTGTAGTGCGGGGAAGAATAGAAGCCAATTGACAGGATGACCTAATTATTCAAGAAAGTTTAATTCTTGGTATTTTAATAAAGGGGAAGGAGTGAAGTCACTTTGTCGCATATTTTGTGACTTTAATGAATGTTTATAAACCTCATGGGGATTCTTCTGTCAATAAATCTTTGAAGCTGTGAAGTTAAATGACATTCTTGCAAAACTATCTTGGAAAATGTAAGCCAAAACAGGGTCAAACGTCAAAATATGGTAAGTTGTATGTTGGCAAAAGTTAAAAACGAATGAATGGATTGTGAAAAGTAGCAAATTAGTCTCTAGTTATTCATAAAACCTATAGGTTTTTAATTAGAAATGAAGCTCCCCTTTGATAGTTAAAAAAGATACCAGCTCTAAACATAGAAAAAGAGAATCAGTTATTTTTGTATCTGCGTAAAAACAAATCTAATCCTCATGAACCAA